TGCCCTGACCGTCACATTTAAATTGTAGTTTTTTCAATTAAATCATTTGTTATCATATACCTTTTATCCTTTAATGCGAAATAACAATTATTGTAATCTCAAAAATCTCGGAAACGGTTTATTTTATGGAAGTTTGAGAGGTACACCTTTTTAATGGTAGCCGAACTGTGTAATCTAAAAATTACATCAAATGTTATAAAACCTAACCTCAAAGTTTTTATGGGACAATAAGCTTAAAGCAACGCCCGTTTCTACGACACTGTGTCCACTAAACCAATTATAATTATGACTGAATATGTGTTTTGGTAGTAAGTGACTGTTCGCAAAATATCACCTTTCCAAGACTACCATAGTAGAGGTTATATTAAAAAAACTGATATACCTAATAAGTAACACTTTATCACCCTGTATCTTGGAAACATGAGTAATTAGGAAAAATATTTATTTGGGTTTTCCTAAATTTATGCCAATAGGTTTAGGGACACCTTGTATATTAACGTTATTTCTGGATACCCTGTATACTTATATTTTTAGTTTTAACTTTACTTACAAAATTACTTGTATTAAAATTTTATTTTAACCAAATTGTGCAGTGGCGGCTCTCTCTAAGGTTTGCAGGTTTGCACAACCCAAAAAAAAACACCCAAGAAGAAAGAAATAAATATGATTATAATAAAATCACCGCAAAATATATTTTAATTTTCCAAGTACCTTTCTTGTCATAACTTACTATAGTTTCTAAGCAAATAATTTAATTTCCCGCTCGGCGCTATCGTATCGTTCTTTGACTGTCACTTGATCGATGCCTGCTGCCATCTAGTGTATAATCATTGGAGCTCCCATTTTTGCGGCAAGGTCGTAAACCATTACAGGCTTTCGCATTGGCGTATTGGGACAACGTGATTAAATTCCGTGCAATATTATTGGTTTCATATAATCGAAAGAAGTTGCAGGGTAAATGCAACATTTTGTTTACCTTGTTTCAGGTCTCGGTGAATCGGTGTTACGGACGTTGACAGTTTAGAAGTGTAAACATTTGCAGGACAATTAGACAGAGCGTATCAAAGAAATATGGAATTGGACAATAAACAAGTGCGAAATAATCGTTACATTTTAAACATTATAAATAATTGTTTACGTGCTTTCGAACTCGCATTAAGAGGACATGATAAAATACCTGATTTTAACCAAAAGCTTCACCTACGTGATCGAAAAGTTTGCTGCTGTAAAAGATCGGAGAATGGATTTCTTCTTTAAGTACCTAATAATGTTGGTAAGCTTAATTTTTTTATAAAACGTTAATAGTACTTAAAACCTAGTGGGATTTTTTTTAGGTAGAACCCACTTAAAAAAGCCCGCAAGGTTTTTTAAAAAGTGGGTTTTTTAACTTTAACTCTTCGATATTTTTGTAAAAAGATAAAACATTACATTTTTATGTAAAAAACTAGTATTTAATCAAAAGCAGTACACTAAACTGAGAAGCGATCAAACCATTGACCAAACAAAACGTAATTTTAAAGTTCGAGGGTTCTCCTGCCGTTCTATATTCCTATTTTATATATAAAACTATAGTTGACGAACGACCGCGAAAATAAGTTGTGAAGGTTGTGAATATTTTTGAATTTTTTTTATCGACAGTACCTACCTATTTCTTTTTAGATTTGGTTTTTTACTAAAATCTGTATAGAAATAAAAAAAAACAATAAAACCCACTTATAAAACCCAAAAAAGCCCCATGGGTTGAGTTTTATTAAAAAAAAAAACGGGTTTTCTCCAATCCTGCTTAAAACATCAACATCTACATATGGGTGCAACCCTAGATTTTTTAAGCCACTAGCCGTCAAAGAAGTGTGCCAGGAAGCCGCGGCTACCCGACTCACTTTGGTCTATCAAAGAGGTACTAAAATAAATCATCTTTTGATAAGTATGTGCTGATCGACTACTTTAGGACGCCTACAAAAGATATATATTGGAATGTTTTTTGATAAAAAATATGTTAGTTCTTTTTGTATTTTATTTTGACCAAAATCAAAAACCTGTATAATGTGTATTATTTATCTGACTTGTAAATTCTAAAGTGTCGGGGCTATAGCCCCAAAACCCCCCTTAATCCAGGGCTACTGGTCACGGCTCTGGGAATCCCACCAATGTGATAATGTATATATACTCGGATACAATTATTTTTGGCACGTGCCACGTACGTCACTTATTTTTGGGAATTTTAGACTTCCCTCCCTCCATGTCATAGGTTCACACAGTATCGATCTAGCTTTTAAGAAACTTGTTTATTCTTATCTACCTATTCAATCAGGGTTGGTTGAATTCGTCCAAGTGGACATATTGTACAATATTGTGACGTAAACGAAAAATAAATAAAAAATATTCGCATATATTTTGTAGTCAAATATATTGGTATTTTTTGTGGTACTTTACCTACATATAAATAACCAACAAATTTAATAAAATGGAATACAATTTGATTTTGTCCAATATTGTCAGATTTTATCCGTTTTTGTCCAATTTTGACCACGTCATGGAAGAAATAAAAAAAAGTGGACAAAATCACACATTGAATGCAGGTAATTCTACACTCTTAGAAAAGACCTGGTATTTGCAATGAAAATTTAGTTCCCAGAACCAATTTTATTAGTGAAAATAGGCACAACAAAAAAATATGTTGTGGGAACTAATACAAATTTGTTTTTACAGTTTGTTGTCGGAACAGCCAATATTGGTAGCTCCAACCAACAAGTTTAAGTGCATCGAAATTAGTTTTTTTTTTTCATACAAATAATTGATATTTAATGCAATCACATTAGTCTGTCATTTTAGCAGCGTCTAAGTTGTAACAACTGCACTTGCTATTTATCGCAACAAACATTGTATCATGCAGGAATTTATTTTTTAATTGAAATTACATGAAAAAAGGTACATTTAAAGAATTTAATAGTTGATATAATATAAATTTGTTTTGTACTGTAACTAAGTTATATTTAATATTAAATGCTTGCATTAGTAGCAACAACAAATTGGTATTATTCCACAGTACATACCTGTTTAGTAAATATAACACTTTTTGTGTAAATATTATAAAAAATAGAGAAAGGAAATTCATGCCCGTTCGTTTTATAAATATTTATTATAAATTAAAAAATAACAATATAACTGAAAACACCAAATTTTGGTTTAAACATTATAACAAAAATTAATAATTACTCTAAGAAAACATTTATAAATATTTTAACAATAAAACAAAAACGATTCTTTGGTAAATATACACAGATAGGTACATTAAGATGAAAGTTGACTATACTTCTTCAATAAACCGTGATGTTTACGTGAAGTGCAAGCCTTTGTTTAACAACTTAACAATGATTCTTAGGTATAACGTAACATACTTGCATGATAACAGGGGTAAGCATTCGATAAATTTTGAGTGTGAGTGCCTATAGTATAGGCCCTATACCAAAAATGCGACTTGAGCTGTAACAAAACAAAACAAAAAAATTCTCGAAATTCCGACGTGATGGAGACTTTTGGTGGGCACCATTGGATTCAGGAGGCCATTTTCAGTCGGAATGGTATTTTCACATTTTTGAATTTTCTTTCGGACCCCAAAACTACAATAGTGTAATTAAAGGAGTGCAATAATAATACCTAACCTTTAAAAACTGGAACCAATTCAGGTAAACCCCATGTTCCTAATAAATCTGCTACTTCAGTCTGCTTATCCATATTATTTGTTCGAGATATCTATAAGTAACCAACACATAAGAATATATTCTTATATATATGAATAGTTAAAAAGTATGTCGCCACTGAATTTACAGGGGCAAATGACTAATTGTAATAAACTAGTTTCTTACCTAAAATATACACTACACACGAGCTGATACACAAATACAAAAGAACAAACACCACCGAAGTCTGGACGCCGTGCAACACCGTTTGTTTACAGGTTAAAAGTAAAGCACGCGCCGGGCTGGACAAATCGCGCGCGAAATGCACAAAGTTTGCAGTTGCATTAACCTACAGAGACAACATCCCCAACTGACACTTTGTTTCACACCGCTGGTGTCTTAGCTGTATGAAAAGTGACGCATAGTTTATACAACCGAACCGTTAGTTCCACGGACTAATTTCAGTCAGTTGAGAATGTTACTTAAATATTTGGTCCAACAAAAACATTTTACCGCCGAAATGATTTTTTTGAGATAATGTTGTCAATACTTCTAGCCAACACAAAGTTTCAGTTAAAATAACTTAATCGCCTTTTTGCAGTAAATAATACTCAACAACAAAACTAAATCTTTTCAGGTAATGATGCAAGCAGTTACACATATAAAGGTACTGATTACAAAAAACAAAAAATGTTATTTTCTGCAACAGTTTTACCCCAACGATAATAAGTTAGTTACAAATACCAGGTCTTTTCTAAGAGTGTAGACAAATGTTTTTTTAAGTTGAAAAAATATATTTCGTCTAGCTAATTTTGTACATGTAGATTTGCACAGTGGAAGATCCACTAATTATAATTAAAATTCGGCCCTGCCTTTCTTATACTTTGTACATAAAAATTAATATTGGGTACTTATAAATATTCATAATTATTCATTACTCAGAAACCATTTTAATAAATAATCATAAACTATATAGTAGAAAGAGTTGTTTATTTAACTTTTAAAAATATTATAGGTATTAAACTGATTTAAACTATTATAATAAAATTTGAATTTAAAAATATTTTTGTATATAGATTAATTGCAATGATTTTTTTTATAAAAAAGTAAATATAAAATCTCGATTTTTTATATAAGAACTAAACTATATTTACAAGGTTTATAAATTCAAGGTTAATTTGGATAATACCTACCATCGAATAACATATATTACACATACACTTTACGTGTATAAGCGGAAACACTGTCTGCCATAGAAAAATAAGGTTATATTTACCTTTTTAAAAATTGATAACAGTAGATAGATTTATTTATGTTGGATACTTATAATTTGGAGTTTTTAGAGTGATGGCAAGAGCTTTTTACGGTGTTTTGTGTTTCTTACTTCTTAGTGTTGTTCTTTTAAAAAATGCGGAAGGTCGAAATTTAACGAGATGTGGACTCACAAACGAACTAATGAATTTGGGATTTGATAGGACACTATTAGGAAATTGTAAGTATCACATTTAATTATTACAACAAGGTATATGTTTATATAAAAAACTCACTCTTAATTCATGATTTTTATTGAAGCTTTTCTATATTGTTTATTAGAGTAGCGGCGGGTAATATGAAATACATCGGCTAATATGGAATACCATATAATTGGCTAAACTTATGCTGCCATCTACAAGGCGGTAGCAAAAATATGCTTATCTTAAGTACGGATTTATACCCAAACACGCGCGTAACTCTGTAATCGTTCGTTAAATAGTTATTCGTCAACACCTGTTTTTCAGTCATGCAGAATTTTTGTTGAGTTTCGTGAAAATTTAGTTTATTATCATTTAGTTGGTGATTTTTTATTCATATTCTCATCAGAGAGCAAGTAAGGACTGTAGATTAATATAAGATGTAGTTATTGCGGGTCTATACTCGTCTAGACATCTTAAAAAAATTATAACCTCAACATAACTAAGAGCGGCTAATATGGAATACTATTCCATATTACCCGCAAAAGTTTCCCCATAAAAGTGCCATCTAAAAATTAATTTCTTTTGTTTAAGAAGTCTTATTCGAGCACCAGGTTATCAACAATGCCTAAAACTAGGGTCGTAGATAAAAAACGCAAAAAGTGGAATGAAGAAAATATGAGGAAAGCAGTGATAGCAGTCAGGTCCAAACAAATGGGTTATTTGAAGGCTTGTAAAACATACAATGTTCCTCGAGCTACACTTTTCAGGCTGTGCAAAAAGAACATGGAACCTGAAGTTGTGTGCCGTACCAAATTAGGCCGTAAGCCCGTTTTACCTGATTTTTTGGAAAAAGAATTAGTTAAGCACTGTCTAGAGATGGAGAAATCGTTCTTTGGCTTGACGCGTCGCGATGTTTGTAATGTTGCTTTTCAATTAGCAAGAAAAAACAATATTCCTCATCCATTTTCATTACTAAGAAAATCAGCTGGCAAGGATTGGCTTCATCACTTCAGAATGAGGCATAAAAATGTTTTAAGTTTGAGAAGACCTACTGGAACTTCGTACGCTCGCGCCTTAGGATTTAATAAAGAAAATGTAGACACATTTTTCGACCTGTTAGAGACCCTAATGGAGACGCATAATTATTCGGCAAGCCAAGTTTATAACGTGGATGAAACTGGTTTAACCATTGTTCAATCAAGAAATCCAGAAGTTTTTTCTCTAAGGGGAAAAAGGCAAGTTGGGGCAATGACGTCAGCCGAACGAGGTTCACTTATAACCTCAGTCCTTTGCATTAGCGCAAGTGGCAATTTTGTACCCCCCCTTCTGATTTTTCCCAGAAAAAATGCCAGTGAACTTCTAAAGAAGGGTGCCCCGCCAGGAACCATTTTTTCCTTTCATCCGTCAGGCTGGATTCAGATGGATATCTTCACACAATGGTTCAAACATTTTCTAAAACATGCTAAACCGAGTGCAGAAAATCCCATTCTACTGATTCTAGATGGTCACCATACTCACACTAAAAATTTGGACGTTATTTTGGCTGCCAGAGAAAACCATGTGACTTTACTTTGCTTACCGCCACATACAACTCATAAGATGCAGCCATTGGATAAAACTGTTATGGGAGCATTAAAGACATATTACAGTGAGGAAGTAAGACTATTTTTAAGAACTAATAATCGGCCTGTCAATCATTTTGATTTAAGTGAACTTTTTGGTAACGCGTATCTGAAAATTCAAAGTGGTGAAAGATCTGTTAACGGATTTCGACAAACTGGATTGTTTCCAGTTAACCGGAACGTATTCTCCGAAGAAGACTTTATTCAGGAGGCACAAAGAAATGAGGTCCAAGTAAATTCAGAAGATGATGTGCTCCGGGAGAAACCTCAACCAGAAAACACGGCTCAGAATGCCACCATAGTTTTACCACGGGATATAATTCCCAAGCCAACTTTGAGGAAGAAAGAGGGCACGAGAGGTCGGAAAGCAGGTCAAGCCAAAGTTTTGACGTCGACCCCAAACAAAGAAGAGTTGGAGCAATCAATAGAAATAGCGTCAGTTAAAGAAAGGGATAAAGTTAAAAGAAAAATAGAAATAACTAACAAAAACAAAGAGAATAAAAAACCTAAACATGCAGATGCAGAGGTAGCTGGACCAAGTGGCGTACAAAAATTTCAAAAAAAGGCAATAAAGAAATCAAAAGAAGGTAAATATTCATCAGAAGATTCCAACAGTTCTGCATCTTTACATGACTCATCATCCAACGACGATGAAGAATTTCCTGTTTATGATCGTCCATCTGAAGAGGCTGAGTGTTTGTTTTGTTCGGGATTATATTCGGCTGATACAAGGGGAGAAATCTGGATTCAGTGTGCAAGATGTGAACTTTGGGCTCATGAGTTATGCGCCGACACGCCAAAGGATGTTTACATTTGTGATTTTTGTCGCTAAAATTTCCCTATAAGCATATATTTTCTAGTTCATTTAGTATTTCATATTACCCCATAGTGGTATTCCATATTACCCGACCATTTTTTTGTAATGTCAGAATGTACTTATTTTATTTAACCTTATTTTTTTTTTTAATTCATAAAGTTTTTGAAATTCCAGAGTTTTATTTGCCTAGATGGATAGTTATCACAATATTTAATGACTTTTCTAATGCACTGTACTGCACCTAGAGGAATTTATTACTATAATAGAAAACAGTATTCCATATTACCCTCCGCTACTCTAATATTATTATGCAATTATTGCATTGCAACATGTAAATATAGCGAGGAGCGCCGTTATGTAAATAACAATGCAATAAAATATTAATACCTTTGATTGGTGTTTATTTGCTACTTACATATTGATATTTCCTATTTGTACCCAAATAAACCTAATTTACATATTTAATACGCATTATGTATGCACGTTACACGCATTATTATTACATTTGTTAGCTTATTTATAGTTCTTAAATATTTTCTCAGGGGCGAAACGTGACTGTTATTTTAGGAGGGAGTTGTTGCGTTTTTTGCCAAAGATATTTTACTTTATTTTATTTTTTTAAGAATAAGTATCTATAAGGGGGTTTCAAAAATTTTCCGAATTTCTAATGGTCAACACAAACTTTTGGTGGAAAAAAAGATTCTATCATAAGATGAGCATTGAGTTCCAGTGTTCTAAGTACAATTTTTGTCAAAATTAAGATATTCACACCAACCAATGTAAAAAAAATTTTGCTTCGTTCAGTTTAAAAATCTTTAATATTGACCTAAAGATGGCAGGATAATCGTACTTTGATAGATTTTATTTATAAACTACGGTTCCAGAAGATCGGTAGGTCGAGCCTAAGGTGAAGACGCGAACGAGATCGATCTAAACAGTATGGAAGTAAAGAAACCGCACACAGTGTAGTTAAGTATATGTAAGGCACAGTGGTGGCCCGTGACATTTCATTTTGGTGAGGCAGAGGCAGGGTTTCGCCCTCATTTAAAGCCGAAGGAATTTTTTTAAACCCAACTTTAAAAAACTGACGTCGCAGTTCACAACCTATATTTAAAACTAAGTAAAAAACTTAGATTGTGGTGGGGAAGGAATCCTCTACTTTGTCAATGAAATATATTTTATTGTAAAAATTACGTTTATTTTAAATAAACCTCATTTTTGTCTAATATTTCATTGTTTAACAAGAACCAGGTGAAGGTCAACAATATCGGTATAATTTCTCACCGTAATATCCATAATGACTAAATTCACATAAATTACCAAGTTCAATTAACTAAACCCACAGAATAATCCACTTACAAAAGAATCATAAAATAGACAAATTCATAGAAAAAGAATAAACAAAATATTGCGTAAATAACCACAGATTTGTTCTTTAAACAGTTCAGAATTTTATAACCAAATCAAACCTAAAGAAGGAATCTGTATTTATTTTATTGGTTACTTTGATGGCTACAAGATGGCGACAGTGTTAAAATATGTTTAATTTAGAATAGAAATATAATTTCGATTAAATCGATTTATTATTAGAAAAATAATACCAATTATTATTGAATTTTGAAAAATGTGTGTATAATTTATCTAAAATTCAGCAACAGTATTACCAAAACACCTGCTTATTTCCTTGGATGTAGGCGTGCCTGCCTTGTATGCTAATACGAGAGAAGGAGACAACTATGATATCGCATTGTAATAGAACGAGACAACAAGGCTAACGCCAATCGTGAGTCTAAATTAGTTCAGGCATGCTTCTGAGCCAATCATCTAGCTATAAATATTAGTTTAAATTGCGGTCGTTTCAAATTCAAATAATTTAAATGTTGCTGGGTATTCCACGTATAAAATCAATCAATTTTATTGACTATTTCACAATTCATGTAATCCAAATATTAAAAATTTATAGTATAATCTAGAAAGTAAAATATTTAAATTATACTTATTTTTTTAATTCTCTATGATGAGGCACTGCCTCACTTGCCTCCCCTGACAGGCCGCCACTGGTAAGGCAATTTAAGTGTACACAGTGCGAAATTAGAGCCTAAGGCCACTACCTGTGCAGGTAAATCACGGCACCTGTCAACCGAAATCTTAGAGAATCAGCAAAGCGTAACACTACTGTGCAGTGCAATACAACCTCCTAACAAATGAAGAATGCACGAAATTAGTTACACTACCTGTGCAGGTGAATTCAATGTGCTAGTCTCCCGAAGGAAACATTGTACCGAAACGTCGTCAGACATACGGTTATTTTAAGAACCAAAAACTGACAACACTGACAGATCCCGGAAAACCATTAATACATATAACGCCCGTGGAAACCTAAAGCATTTTATTATTTTGATTAGTAAGGTTACTTGGAGTACGTATGTAGTGTTTTAAAAAAAATCTTCAACAGTTTTTAATTTTAGATTTTTACAGGTTTTTAGGTATATTAAACATGTTAGTACTAGATTATTATACAATGCTCCAATCAAAAATTGCTCTACTGTACAAAACACCAAAATATACCTGGAGATAGATATACCGGAGGCACCCTGTATAATAAATGAATATGTATAACCTACATTATTTTTTTTGCAGGGGTGTGTTTGGTGGAAAGTGAAAGCGGTAAAAAAACTGATAAAATGAAGAAAAAAGCCAATGGAAGTTATGCGCTTGGATTATTTCAAGTAAGTTTAATGGACAAAAAGTCCAGCAAGTTTTACGGCTTCGTATGTAAAAATTAAAAAAATCATAGGACCCGTATACTTTTGTTTTCAGGGGGATAAATTTACACATTTACACAATTTTATCACTTAGCGGGGGCGGCATTTACCCTTATAAATGGGAAGGGGTATTTGTGATACATCTTTTGAGAGGCCATTACATTTTCTTGAAAATGGCGCTTCGTTTTTTAAATTTGAGCTACGCGTCGGCGAGCAATGGAATTCCGAACAGTTTACGCTTATTTACAAATTCGTAAACCAAAAAATTTGTTAAAAATTTGTTTTTAAACTAACAATTAGTAACAAATATCAGTCGACAAATCGACTTTATCTTCACGAAAGTCCGTAGTTGATGTGGATAGTTTTTTCTGAGCATTGATTTTCTTTCGATTCGATAAAAAATGGTTTATTCTATTGCGGAGATAGTGGAATAGTATATTCTGTATACGGCATATTCGAGTGAAATGTTTGTCACACGAGCCGAAGGCGGGTTTGACGGTTTTACGAGAGCGGAATATGCATTTCCAAACGTGTTTCAGACTATACCTTTTTTTACGTTTCCAAAGATTACCATAAAAAAAATAATTTAATTGGGAGAAAGTGAGGTTGGATCGGTCTAAATTTGTTAGACACTTTGAACAGTTGCGGTACTATTGGATGAGGTGAACGGCGGACATTTTTAACAGTTAATAAGATAATACGTAAGTACTAATAAATAAAATTTTACATCAAAAATTGTAAAAACCAAGCGCAATTTAAAAGAAAATGTAATGCCTCTTCAAAATATGTATCACAACATACCCCAAGGTGAATGCCGCCCCCGCTAAGGGGTTAAAGTTAATGTGTAAATTTGTCCCCTTGAAAACAAAAGTTTAATTGCATATGAAAATTTCATAGTCATTTAAGAACCCTATTGAGACCTTAAAGTTTAATAGTTTTCATTGTTTTTAGATTAATAGCAAGGAATGGTGCACCTTTGACAAAAAGGGAGGAAAATGTGACATGAAATGTGAAGGTAGGTAACAATTTTTTTAAAGATTAACTTTAAATAAACAAGTGTTAATAACAAATAAATAAGTAAATAAATAAAACAAATATTTATTTATTTTTTAGTGCTCAAATTAAACTAAATGTAATACTAAAATATTCGTAATACTGTCAAACATAAAACATACTTTATTAGTAAAGTTCAAAACTATTAAGGCTATGAAATTTAAATGTACCCATTTATGTGGACAGTATTTCGTGAAAAATGAGATTTTTATTTACTTATGAAAAGTTTCTGACTAAAATGCATTAAATATTTTTTTTATTAAATAAAATTTACAAATTATTATTGTTTACCTAGAAATGGTCATAATAGTTATTTAAATAATTATGTCATAGGCCAATAAGTGAGTTTTTTGCGCCAAAAAGCACAAAAGACCTTCTGGGCCGAATCTACTTCCAATGCATAATATTGTTTTTTTTTCGTGAAAAATGAGAAACATTATAAATTTCCTTCCTAACAATAATAAACTCATTATTCACGTTGTTAGGCATCAGTGATTGGCCAATTTCAATATTCACTGTAATTTGAACCAATCGGGTTTTAAATTGGAAGAAGGCGACTGTAATAACATTTAAAATTGATAAAAAGTGAGGTTAACCATTTGACAGATGTCAGATTTTATTTATTTATTTTTGAAAATCATTTATTTATCTACTTATTGGAGTAGATAAAGTATAGTATTCAGTGGCGGCTCGTGCCTTCCGCGCTGGGGTAGGCGACGGCCAACAAAACAAACTCTGTTTAAAAAAACTACCACATAACCATCGATGATTCTCATACCATTGCTTTTTAAACGATCGAGAAAAGATTTAGATGTGGAATAGGGCGATCATTAATCATATCATCTTTTCGATCGTTTTCATTAAGGCGAGAAAATGGATTTTCAAGTAATGAGCAAATAATGTCATGAAATGGGCCCTCCATTATTGCAAAATAATACCCTTGTTTATTAAACAAGGCTAATAATCAACGCTAATACTACCTACCTATTAGGTAGTAGGTACCTAATTCTAATACTAACAAATAATAATAAATAATGATACAGTAATACTGTAATACGGGTAATTAATTTCCTGAGACAGTCACAAAAATAAAGTGAATTTGGCTTAAAACTCAAAAACATCTAATTGAGTCAATTAAATTGACATAACTAAAATGTAAAAGAAATCTGCTTAAAAGCCCTTTATCGTTCGAATTTATCTCAACAGATGTCACTATTTTAAATTAATTATTTATTATATTAATATATTCTTGCAAATGATGTTATTTACAGAACTTTTAATATTAAATTCATATTATATTCTGAACCTCTTGAATTGAGATCGATCATTTTATCGATTACCGGCTTAAAAAAATAACTTACTGGCAAAAACAAATCGGAAGCCGAATCGGCTTTCGGATTAGCAGAAGGCGAACAATCGTGTCGCCTATCCATCGCAATTTTACCATACGTCAACGGCGTTTCTATTGGTCAGCGGTATAGCGTTCTTCACTTGGTTGACGTGAAAGAATCAAATAAATAGGCGCTTGGGATAGCCGCCTTTGCTTGCCTTAGATGCTGATTTAGAGCATAGATAAAGGTGTGAACTAGCTACTTTCGTCATGACGCATCACGCAACAATTCAATAAAAGGTTTTATTTGCGATAAATAAGATTTATGAATTAAAATTAAATTTGGTAATTTTATTAATGTTAAATTACTTATATTTATTATTTTACATTCATATTTCCAGGGTAGGCGGCGCCTACCTTGCCTACCCCGACGAGCCGCCACTGATAGTATTACACTCAAGATTATGCGCATTATCTCTCGTATAATAATATACTATTATCTTCAAGTTCAACTACCGAATTTAATGTTACTGATTTTTAAGACCATGCGTTTAAATCAATATGAAAGATTTTTACAAAATTGAATTCAGCTCATTTTCTGTCAGTATATTATTTTTAATTTGTGTGTTATGTCACTTTTTTCAGAACTGGGTCAAAAGAGAGCTCAACTAACGTTTTAATATTTTTTCCATTAGATTTGACCAACGACGATATTTCAGACGATTCCAGATGCGCCCAGAAAGCGTTCCAGGAAATGGGTTTTCGCGGTTGGGAGGGCTGGATGCGAAGTTGTTATGGGCGGAAGCTACCCATCCCGAATTGTTAAAGTTTGCCTCTAAAATTCCAATAAATGAACAAAATATTGTTTTAATAAAATTATGCTCCCCCCATCAGCTGATTATAATTTTTAATTAAACATCTGATGCAAAAGTGTATACATAATTGTAGATAAAAAATAAATTTCCTGTTTTCCATGTTACAGAAAATGGTCACCGAGTCTTTTAAAATGAAGTCAAAAATAATAATAATTATTATGTCATATTTGACTAATTGTCATGGCGAAAATGCAGTCACTAATAATTAGTCAAATTCTACCGAATATAATAGTCAAATAAGTAGCTTTAAATTTAAAAAAGGTTTGATCCAGCCAGGGTTTGAACTCTGGTCTTTTTTTTTTTGCTTGTCAAGCGGATGTCCAACCTAGGCACCACTTATACTTTTATAAAAAACAGTTATATCTGTCTATAAATATTGAATATCTTTTTTGTGTTGCCGTTTTGAGCTAAACTTTTTGCATCTTTTTTTTGTTTTCATGGGCCATTTAACCATGGAGCGTACATGCATTTAACAACAAATTATTGTTAGATAACAATAATTTATTGTTGGCCGCAAGAATTAAAGAATTTAATTACTTTTTACTCTCAGTAACATCTTTGGATGGTGACTTCTCATAAATTAGTCAAACTTTAACTGTTTAAGTAGTAAAACATAACTACTTAAAAATGAAAACGACTATTTTATTAGAAAACAATGCGGGTACTAAATCAAATAGTAGAAGTTTGACTATTTCATTCCACAGTTATAATACCCATAACCTAATTACATAGACATTTTTGTTCTATACAATTATAGACAAAAATTAATGGGCGAATTTTCGTTAAATGTACATTTTGTATATATATTTTATCCAGGCAGGCCAATTTGATCTATTTTTTTCCTTTGTGATAGAACAGTGTAATAGACTGCAAAAAAATTATATAAGTTTATAAATAACAAAAATAAACTTTAAAGAAATTAAACTTATATATAAATAGGGTTAATCTGCAATAGAGAAGGAACACAAGGAAGAAATGAAACATTGTCCTCCTCCTAACGCATCTTCCTGAACGTTTTAGACACATTGCTTTTGGCTTTTTCAAGCGTTATTTTTCAGAAATACTGTTAAATGTAAATATATGTCGGCATTTGTTTGGCATTTCTACTATAGTAGCATATATGCTATAATACAAAATGAAAATATGCTATAATACAAAATGAAAATAAAAAAGGTAACTTGTAAAACAAGTTGTATGTAGCGTTTTCTAAAAGACACCAAAAAGTGTACGCAAAAAAATCTTACCTTTATAATATTTACAAAAAAATTCACACACTTTACACGTGCTGTTGTTGTGTCTCTACTTCGAAGCAGTCGGCATAGAAGTCGACGTTAGGAAAAAGACAAGATTTTTAAATGTCAACTTTAATATTTTTTTCTGTTTAAACTACTTTGTAGAAAATTATTTTAGTTTTATATACGAATAAAAGAACTTTCCATTGTTCAAAAATAATTAATTTTTTCAGAAGAAAGCTACCAAAAAGAAGAAAATCATAATTTAAATTAAAAAATCGCCTCTGGGGACAGTTAGGTTACAGGACATTTCACCTAGTTTTTCTGCCATATATAGAAACGCAAAGCAATTACAAAAATACGATGGATCCTAACAGGAAGGGTGTATTTAAATATAATAAATACAAAACTTATCAACAAAGGTCAAAAATAAAAATAAAATTAGCTGGGGACAGCAAATGTACATTTAACGAAAATTTGCCCTAATACGTGTTATTGCCACTAAGCCTTCGTTGTGGAATAAGAAAATTGCCATAACATCCTAAAACTGTATAAGCGAAAGGGTTGAAAATTAGGTAGCAAGGAACCTGTCGATCTGTCGGGACATAAGGCCACCGAAGATTTCCGAAGACACGAGGCACTCTTAACTTATACTTTTATTTACAATGTGAACAAAGGAAAGTGAAAAACTTAAGTTTTCCACTTTCAAATTTTTATGTTATGTTGCATTAACCTTTATTGCGTTTATACGAGGTGTGTTCAGAAAATAACGGGAATTGTTAAATTTCGCGGCTTCGGAGGGTCCGGTTGTCATAAATTTTTATTTATTATGTTGGTATACATGAGCCCGAAGTATGATAAAAACTTTAGATGTTTTCATTGTTTACTTTGTCTGTAGCAGCCGCTAAGGTTAGACGTGTTTTATGAGCTCGGCGATTTTCGTTCGTTAAAAGAAATGGATCAAAGAGAATTTGTATTCAATTTTGCTTAAAAAATGAAATAAATTCTGTGAAATGTTAACAAAGGCCTATAGTGAGTCTGCTATAAGTAAAACAAGGGTTTACAAGTGGTATAAGAGTTTCCAAGATGGCCGTGAAGACTTTCAAGATGACGAACGCCCCGAACGCACAAGCACATTAACAACCGATAAAAACATGGAGAAGTCGCTCATGATCTTGGTATATCGATTTTTTCAAATGTTTTGAGTATGAAACGCGTGGCAGCAAAATTTGTTCCAAAATTGTTAAATTTTGAACAAAATTTTTGGCCAAAAACAATACTGTAATGATGCTCCAGCCTCCATATTCGCCAGACATGCCTCTGTCTGACTTTTTCCTATTCCCAAAAATAAAGAGAACCTTAAAGGGCCGTCGTTTTGCAAGCATAGATGACATTAAAAGCGCATCGCTGAAAGAACTAAAGGCTATGTCAAAGATCGAGTTTTAGAAGTGTTTCGAGTATTGGAAGAAGAGTTGGCACATGTGAATAATATCCAATGGGGACTATTCAAATTTGAAGGCGACAACATTAATGTAGATGAATAAATAAATATTTGTTTCAAAAAACGAAAATTTCCGATATTTTCTGAACACACCTCGTATATGGGGCAAAATTTGCCAAGTGTACCAGGTGAAAAAAATTTTGTCACCGATTTTGTTTAAACTTTACTTATTTGTTGTTCTTATAACGAAGAATCATAGCATAAAATTTTTTTGCTCTAGGATTGTTCATTCAAGACCCAAGCAACACAGAATGGTATATTAAACGTTTAAAACGATCTACTACCATCCGTCACTTCGTTGTATATGTGAAACGTATTATAAACTGCAAAATGTCCGCGACTTCAACGTATATATACCGTAAAATGGGGTGAATAGGGTCATTTTGGAGTTTTGAGAAGCTATAAGTTTATAGGATTAAGTGCTAAAAATTATCCGCTTGCGTAGAAATATGAGTTAAGACTAGTACTATCATCTTACAATGCCAAACTTTATACAGGGTGATTTCCTTAGATTATATATATTTTTTTATTCACTGATCCTATTCACCACACACCTGGGGTTAATAGAATCGGCCGCATTATTTTTACTCTGATCGCTTTCGCCGAGCTACTGGGGTCAATAGGATCAACATTTATTGTTTTAAAAAAATATTTTAATAACTAGCGAGCTAAATTCCTTTGTGTAGTGTATACAGTAGTCAGTTTTATTAAAAGTTTTAATTCAAAACACACTTAAAACTAACAGGAACTTTATTTAAAAAAACAAAATATAGAATTCTTTGGCAAAATAAAAAAACAAACAAAAGTACATTTCTTTGGTAAAACATATTATAAAACAATAACTTTAAAAGTTCAAAAAGTTAACAGAAAATTTTAAATACCCTCGCAGATATTTTACGGGCGACTCCACTTTTCCCACAACTTGATCAAATGGAAACTCTGAAATTTCTTCTTTATCAGGAAATTGAAAAACGTTTCCCGAAAAATCCCTCGTTTGTTTTTCGCGAAGAAAATTTCCGTAAAATTCTGTTTCAGTCTTATTCACCACTTGGCATAAATAAAAACGTAAGCTACAGCTTGAACTTGCTTTCCTTGTTTCTGTAGGAAAACCCACCAAAAGCCAATCTCTGATTTTAATTTCATCTCTTGAGACTGAGCTTACATTTTTAAATGTCTTTCCATGTTTGGTAAGAACATTGCTATCACAGCTAGGCGTTTTTAAGTTTGATTCTTCGAATTCAATTGGTGAATCATCGGAAAATTCATCATTTTCTGCCCCGGGTGATGAAAACTCAATGTCTTCATGAGTTTCTGAGTTACTTTCTGACTCGGAAGTTTTTTCATGACGAACACTTTTTCCCGCTTGAACCTTCAATTTCTTCCCAGATTTTTTCTTTTTAAGGTCACCGTCACCATAGCGCATTTGCTTTAACAGGTCGCAAAATGATGACTCTAAATTGTTGTCAACACGCAGATTTTCCTTCTCATTATTATAGTCAACTGTTGGTATCATGGAAAGTACTTTGTCCCTATTAATTGGAATCAACCCAGCCTTGCAAAATCCAGAAATTATGTTTTTTTCTGCATTGGGCTCAATTTCCTTAATGAGTTTTAATAGAAGCCGGGGGAAAATACTTTTGGGGATTGAGGGCTCTTTCATTCCTGGACCCTGTTTCCAATCTCGCAAAATTTTACGCCAGGCAACCTTTAAAGGTCTAAAGAATGCAATGTCAAGCGGTTGAGTTATGTGTGTCGAGTTCCCTGGGAAAAACACGAATCTTATATTATGTGCAGTACAAAGAGAAATAATTTCCTCCGATAAGTGAGACGACAGATTGTCTCCAATCAAAACTTTATCGCCATCTAGTTTTTGCAGATATGGAATCGCTACGGTTTTTAACCAATCTGTAAACGTTAGATTGTCAAACCAACCACTAATCGTAGCATTATACCTTGTATATTTCGGACCTCCTTCAATCCAAGTGGAATAAACATTTTTAGCTTTATAAATAACATAGCAAGGTAATAATTTTCCATCGCCTGTTGCTGCAAACATTATTGAAACTGCTGATTTTGTCTGATTCATAACCCTCTCGGGGTATTTGCATCCCCGTTTTGCAATAATTTTATTTCTACCTGGGTCGTTACTTAAATTAGTCTCATCATAATTTATGATGTGACTTGCGGGAATGTTTGCTAAAGAGACTTCCAAGTTATCGAAATATGCGTTAATGGCTTCAGGAGACACTCCAGCCCTGGCGCGTTTAATATTTTGACATAAACGAACAGCCAGTTTACTTTTATGCCTTTTCATAAACCCATAACCAAATTCCTTAC